TTTTAAATGTTACTACTTGTTTCAGAATGTTCAGAACATTCAAAAGTAACGTTTCCGTAATGTTTGCAAAATGCTCAAATGGAACGTTCCATTAACGTTCACATAACCAAGAATAAACGTTTTCAAAACATCTAAAAACTGGTCATTTTAAACATTCAGAAATAACTTAATTATTTGGAACGATAGCGAAACATTCTTAGAACATATTTTTGTTAACTGGGTGACGCTTGTTTTCTGTAGAGCTGCTTTATTGTGAAATTACATTTCTTTCGTAACTGATGAACTTTGATGAACTGAACTGAATCACGGTTGAACTAAATTGAGCTGAAGATTGACATTATTGTCTTTTGTAGAGCTGCTTTACATCTGAAATTGAATTTGATTCGTAACTGTTGAATTTTGCGATTATAATAGGCTACTGTTATTTTCCCAGGTTATGAAAATTTTATTTCTGAATGTTCAAAAAAGGTCCAGTTTTTTAAACTTAAAAAAAAAAAATTCCCCTTATGTGAACATTAAGAGAACATTCCACTTTAGAGTTTTGCAAACATTATGGAAACGTTACTTTTGAATGTTCTGAAACAAGTAGTAACATTTAAAAAAACGTTAGACAAACATCCAACCTATAATATCTGGGGGAAAAAAAAACATTCCATGAATGATGTATAAATAATGTTTTTGTTTTAATGTTTTGAGAACATTATTAAAGATCAGATAACTTTGAACGAATGTTCTATTAAAGGTGGGGTAAGTGATTTCTGGTAGCCAATGTTGACATTTGAAATCACCAAAACAAACACGCGCTCGGCTCGGCTAATGTCCGTCCCGTGCACTGAACGCGCTCTCCTCCACATCATGAGTAGACACGCCCCTTACTGCTGATTGGCTACAAGTTTGTTTTGCTATTCGGCCCGAATCGGTTTTCTAAAGCGTTTTTGAAAAATCGCTTACCCCACCTTTAATGTTACTGGAAGAATGTGCATGACTTTGAGAGAACTTTGCCAGAACGCATTTAAGCTGCTTTGATAAACAATATGAGATCAAACAAATGAGGCGAATCTCTTGTTATTTGTTTCACAGGTGTTGTGGTCGGGAGGGTACATGGACGCGGTGAACGGGATGCTCCACATATCCGATCAGGAGCTGGCGTCCATGCGGAAGCTAGAGCTTCTGGAGGTGCTGTGTGAGGACGTGCTTCCCAGAAGCCTCTCGGAGATCCAGCGGCTCAGTGCTCAGCTGGAGCTGCGCCGCGGATCGCTGCGGATGGACGACTTTGAGCGCACCGTCCTCACGATGGTGTTTACGGCTCAACAGCTCCAACATACCAGCCCCGGCCACCAGAGAGAGCTGTGGGTGAATGCACTCCTGCGACTCTATAAAGCCATCAAAGGAGACCTGCGGCCGGAGTCGAGTAAAGCTACAAATGCCTGACTCTGAGAGAAGCGTCTCATGTATCAGTCTACTGCAGTGCTTCTCAACCAGGGGCTGCAGGACTGTCCCAGCTAACAGGGAACGTTCTGGCAAGCTTCTCTCAAAGTTATGAACAAACGTTCTTCCAGCAGCATTAATAGAGCATTTGTTCAAAGTGATCTGGTCTTTAATAAGATCATCAAAACATTAGCACATTATATATTCATAATGTTTATGCACGTTTTTCTGAAACATTTTAGTTTAAACTTTTTTTTTTAAACATCATACTAGTTTCAGCTGTTTCAGAGAACTATCAAAAGTAACATTACCAGAATGTTTGCAAAATGATCAAATAGAACGTTCCCTTAATCTCTTCTCTAATGTTCACATAACCAAGAAAAAATGTTTTTTTAAACATTTAAAAAAAAAAGGATTTTGAGAGAATATGAGATCATGTTTTTATAACTAATCTGGAACATTAGTGAAACGTTAATGAAAATGCAGCTAAGTATGTAATCAGGTAGAGCTAGTCAAATTAGACAATGTCAATAATTGCAATGCAATTTATATATATTTTACATAATATTTGTAAAATAAGAAATAAATAATTTGAAAATAAGTGAAAATAAATATAATATTTGAACTTAATAAAATAATGAATCTGTAAAATAAACAGATTTATAGTTTTGATAGCAGCTTCTTAATTCTATAATTCTGTTATAGTATTTTTCACAAATAAGGTGTTAAAAAACAAATACAAATTCTAATAGTAAAATAATACAAGCAAAACACCTCATTCTCAAAAAAATTTATATTTATTTTACATAATACTTACAAAATTAGAAATAAATAATTTGAAAATAAGTGAATATAAATATCATATTTGAACGAGAAAAAAAATCTATAAAATAAACAGATTTAGAGTTTATATAGCAGCTTCTCTAATTTGTAAATAGTATTTTCATTTTAGTTAAAAACAAATAAAAAAATAAAATAAAAAATAAGCAAAAGCACAAAGTAATGGAAAATACAACCCAAACTTGCAGCAACACTTAAAAATAAAGATTTTTTTTTTTACAGTGGAAAAGGTTCTTTAGATTATTCAAATGAATCTTTTCATAAGAACTGATTACTAAAAGGTTCTTTAGGGAACCAAAACGGGTTCTTCTATGGAATCGCTGTGAAAACAACCTTTATTTTGAAGTGTAAAATCTGGTTCCTGAAGCAGAACTGGTTGAGAAGCACTGACTGAACTGGACTTCTCTCATTACAGTGCGGTCAGATGAATATAACATGCATCTGTGTTTGCATAAGTTCACCTTCACAATGACAGATCACATTCTTTGCATAAACGTGTTGTTGGTGCAGTTGATGGCACATTATACTACAGAATGAGCTCCTAATAGAATCATTATCACGTCCTTGACCGTGTCTCCCTGACATTTTCACCTGGAAATATTCCCAGTGGCACATCAAAACCTGCTGTCTGCTCGGCTGAGATCTGTGTTCACGAGAAATCATTGCTGAGAATGTGACTGATATTAAAGTTAAAACTTCACAGCTTCATCGCTGCATTAAACAAGCCCCCCTACATGAGACAATAAAGGACTGGAGGTTTCATTTCACCTGTGTTTTATTAAACACCTCAGGCAATATTTCAGCATCTGCCACCTGAGCAAAAGCGTTCAGACTCACTTATGAGACAGTGATGATGATGATGATGAACAAATGATCAAAACCCAGTGGATCCAGGCTCAGGGATCCCTCCAAATGAGTTTGTCGTGTGTTTCAATAGCGCCATCTACAGGCCACGATATTATTACAGCTACAGATCAGTTTTGTGGCATTAAAATAGTTATTGGAAACTATTTGTGTGTGTGTGTGTGTATGTGTGAGTGTGTGTGTGTGTGTGTGTGTGAGCGAGTGTGTGTGTGTGTGTGTGTGTGAGCGAGTGTGTGTGTGTGTGTGTGTGTGAGCGAGTGTGTGTGTGTGTGTGTGTGTGAGCGAGTGTGTGTGTGTGTGTGTGTGTGAGCGAGTGTGTGTGTGTGTGTGTGTGTGAGCGAGTGTGTGTGTGTGTGTGTGTGTGAGCGAGTGTGTGTGTGTGTGTGTGTGTGAGCGAGTGTGTGTGTGTGTGTGTGTGTGAGCGAGTGTGTGTGTGTGTGTGTGTGTGAGCGAGTGTGTGTGTGTGTGTGTGTGTGAGCGAGTGTGTGTGTGTGTGTGTGTGTGAGCGAGTGTGTGTGTGTGTGTGTGTGTGAGCGAGTGTGTGTGTGTGTGTGTGTGTGAGCGAGTGTGTGTGTGTGTGTGTGTGTGAGCGAGTGTGTGTGTGTGTGTGTGTGTGAGCGAGTGTGTGTGTGTGTGTGTGTGTGAGCGAGTGTGTGTGTGTGTGTGTGTGTGAGCGAGTGTGTGTGTGTGTGTGTGTGTGAGCGAGTGTGTGTGTGTGTGTGTGTGTGAGCGAGTGTGTGTGTGTGTGTGTGTGTGAGCGAGTGTGTGTGTGTGTGTGTGTGTGAGCGAGTGTGTGTGTGTGTGTGTGTGTGAGCGAGTGTGTGTGTGTGTGTGTGTGTGAGCGAGTGTGTGTGTGTGTGTGTGTGTGAGCGAGTGTGTGTGTGTGTGTGTGTGTGAGCGAGTGTGTGTGTGTGTGTGTGTGTGAGCGAGTGTGTGTGTGTGTGTGTGTGTGAGCGAGTGTGTGTGTGTGTGTGTGTGTGAGCGAGTGTGTGTGTGTGTGTGTGTGTGAGCGAGTGTGTGTGTGTGTGTGTGTGTGAGCGAGTGTGTGTGTGTGTGTGTGTGTGAGCGAGTGTGTGTGTGTGTGTGTGTGTGAGCGAGTGTGTGTGTGTGTGTGTGTGTGAGCGAGTGTGTGTGTGTGTGTGTGTGTGAGCGAGTGTGTGTGTGTGTGTGTGTGTGAGCGAGTGTGTGTGTGTGTGTGTGTGTGAGCGAGTGTGTGTGTGTGTGTGTGTGTGAGAGTGTGTGTGTGTGTGTGTGTGTGAGTGTGTGTGTGTGTGTGTGTGTGTGTAATTGCAAGCTTAATGTCACTATAAAAAAAATTTTCATTCGTTTTTCATATCAGATGTGTCTCAGGTTTATGACACTTTCTATTGTAAAAATGACCTTAAGAAGTAGTTGTTTGAATAATGATTATGTACAAGTGTATGTTTTTTTTTTTTAATAAACAATTTGTTATTTGTAACTCTAAGGGAAATTTCTGCAAAATAAGTACAACAAACGTATATCGTTCAGGTGATTCATGATAGATAGATAGATAGATAGATAGATAGATGATAGATAGATAGATAGATAGGTAGATAGATAGATAGATAGATAGGTAGATAGATAGATAGATAGATTAAACGAAATAAAAAAATGACAATAAAAGATTCTGAACGTTTTCACAGTCTGAAGGATTACAGTAACATGAAATTAACATATAACATGAACTTGCATACGAGCGGCATTAATTAAATGGGTTTAAGCTAAACACTGGATGTGTGATATGTACTTAATTTAGGGTTGGGTGTATGTACGTGTTATATGTATTTATCTGGGTTTGCAATTTTATCTCTTTTTTTTTTATCCTCGCGTATTTTTGAGGTGAATAATAGTTTTTGATCAGGCACCTTTGGGGACGCCATCTTCAGGGGTCCTAATATTGAAAACTATCAAGCGCCGTCGTTTACTGACTAAACTTATGAATATTAGCTCAAGCACATGAGGTAAGACTGACATTTACTTCAAAACACAACTGTATTCACGTGACTGACAGAAAATCTCTTTGTTTCTGTCATTTCCGTCTGTTCGCGGCATAATCGTGTTGATATTTGACATGAGCGGCCTCAAACAGCTAACGGCTAATGCTAATTCATAAACATTCAGTTAAAACATGAAATCGCTTAATTAAAAGATCGGATTTCTGTTATATATGAACTGTTTATTATAAAGTGAAATTATATTGAGTGACAGACAATGTTTATCTGGTTTATTTAGTCGTCTTTTGTTAATACAGCTGTTGCTGATTGTTTTAATGTGGTCGATTTGCTTGTTCATTAGTTTTTTGGTAATTGAGAGACTTTGTTAGGTCATATAACGGCATACAAAGTTGATATGTGTGTGAAAGTGTTTTGGCCCACGATTCGACCCGGAATGTGGCAGAATTTGAGCCCACGGGTGTATCTGATCAGCTGTATTCCTGCAGGTCGACCAGACACGTTCAGTTCTGCCTTCCTGCAAAGTCTAGTGTTAATGATTTACTAATTAATCAAACACACCTGAGGCAGCTGATCACCTGAGCGTGATTGACAGGTGTGTTTGAGGAGGCGTGGCAGGTGCTGAGACCACCTGACCTGGACTACGTCAGTATTTCTGCATTATATGCAGATTTTCTGTGTGTATGAAATAAACTAATCAAATAAACACTGCTTGGCCAAAATGTGCAATATACAATCAAAGCAGACTGGGATAAAATATGCAGTAGTAGCAGGACAGATTATCCTGTGACTGGCATTATATAATAACTCTTAATTAATTTGATCTAATAATAGCTTTCAATGCAAAATTAGATTAGAAGTGCAAAACTTAATAAAAAGTATACAGTATAAATATAATTCAAAATTTTCTGTATAGGGTACACATTGTTCAATGCAATGCAAATTTGAGATATATATATATATGTATATAAACAGTATGCTCTTACATATACAGTATACTATTTTTCAGTGCAGAATTTGATTAAAAGTGCAAAATATAAAAAAGTATGCTGTATGCTGTGCACTGTTTTTCAATGCAAAATTTGTTAAAAATGCTAAATATTTTTTAAACAGCATGCCATATGCAAAATTTGATTACAAGTGCAAAATATTAAAACAAATTGTATACAGTATAATATTTTTCCGTGCAAAATATTGCTTAAAAAAGTGCTTAACAAAATATTAAAATTTTTAAGAGACAGTACGTTGTATGCATTACAATGTTTTTTTAAAGAAAATTTTAAGTGCAAAATATTTTTTAAAACAGAAAATCATGTGCAAAATAATAATAAAGTATTGTGCATACAGTATCATTTTTCAGTGCAATTAAAAAAATAAAAAATTTAGATGCCATGTGTAAAATTTGATTTAAAAAAGCAATTAAAAAAACTCATTGAATTAAAAGTGCAATATTAAACAAAAAATGGCATATACAGTATAATAATTAATAATGCAAAATTTTGTTTAAAAATGCAAAATATTTGAAAAAACAGTATGCTATATACAGTGTAATATGTTTCAATACAAATCATTTTTAAATCCATGCTAAATCATTTTTTAAACCGTGTGCCATATGCAAAATTTAAAATATTGTCGTATACATTATATTTTTCAAAGCAAATTTTGATTAAAAATGCAAAATAGTTTTAAAAAACATTATACAGTGCAGTATGCCAGACACATCCCTTGACTTTCTATGTTTGCAATTATTATCAGATACGGTTTAATTTGTACTATTATTGTTCTGTAATGTTTTGCAGTAGCAGTATGCCTGCTGAACGTAAGAAGTCCGTCAACATGGAGGAGAGAGAGACGGGCTCCTTCAGCAACAAGGACAGAGACGCAGACAGACAGGCCGCCGCGTCCCGCGACAAGAGCAAAGACGAGACCAAGATGAGCGCGAAGAAGGACGGAGGCAAGACAGCGGGGGGTAAGCAAAATAATCTTGTTTTCTGTTTGAAATAAGATTATTTGGTTTACCCCATTGGCAGATTATTTAGCTTGTTTCAAGCAAAAACCCACTTGAATTCGACTTGTTTTTCTGAAAACAAGACAATAATTTTTACTTGTCTAGAAAATCCTTCTGGATTTAAGAATTTTCAGATATTTTGGCTGGAAACAAGACAAAAGATCTAAGCTAGAAAAGCATTTTT